CTGCTAATAGTGCCATGCTGCTAACAATAGCTACCATGCTACTAATAATGCCAGGCTGCTAACAGAACTACACTGCTAACAGTAGCTACTATGCTGCTCATAGTGCCATGCTGCTAACAATAGTGTAGTGAACCTGATCTGAACCTGATCTGACCTCAAATCTTGATCAGATGAACAGAGACTGTTGTTTCGTTTATCTGCATCCAGAAATACAGTTTGGGCCATTTGGTGACTTTCTTTCTTGAATTAATCAAGCAGAAAAGACAATTCTCTATGATCATCACTGTTTTACAAATGTTTGATAATCAAATTGTGTTAGTTCACTCAATGTTACAGGTTGAAGAGAACTACTCATTTTTATTTTACATAAACAGTAAGTAATGATTTTTATTCCTCATTTAAAGAAGAAATCAGGTTAATATGCATTTCTTGATTTTCTGTCTGAAATGAGCCAAGTTTTGTAAGTATGTTAAAGGTCGGTTTCGGTCAACTAAAATGTTTACCGAGGAAAAATGTCATGTTTAAACTTTTTCAGAAGATAATAAGAGGGAGACTCCACGAAGTCTGGTTTTTCTGCAATTATCTTTCTGTTAGTTGTTGAACAATCTCATTCTCTGACCTCGACTTATGATAACATCTTACATCACAAACCACACCTTTTCCTGGTCCATAGACCAATCAAAAGCTCTCAAATGACCCGGAAGTCGACCCATTTAAAATGTGGCAACTTCCCAGTTCACTAGGAGTTGCAAGAGTCCGAGGGTCCAAGAGTCTCAGAGTGATGGAGGTTCTGAAGAAGTTCTAGAGTCTGAGAGTTCTGAAGGCTGAAGGAGAAAACTCTGATGTCCGATGGAGAAAGTCTGATGTCTGAAGCCCAGAGTGCTTCCGTTGGAATACAGAACGCAGTGACGATGTTGGGATTATAATTTCTGTTTGAACACCACGCACGACTCTCGAAGGATTTCAGCTGCTCAACGGAGACGCTGAAAGAGTCTGAAGGATTCTATACCGAGCTGATTTCATCGTCAACCAGGTAACGATCTACTTCAACCGAGCGTACCGTCGCAAGCTGAGATCTGATGGAGCGTGCACGTTCTGGTCATAACAGATTAATTCCCTCACATATCTCTCTGTAAGATAAATCTCCATTTCCATCTTAAACTCTGCTTTCTCCTAAAATCAGTACAGATATTTAGAAATATCTGAAGCTAAGTCCTCAATCACCGCCGTGTGATTGAAGCCCATTTTTGTGAAACTTGTCTGTTATTATTTTCATATTTTGCCAAATTAATGTAAATGTTTGATGTTAAACTTTGATTCTGAAAATAAATGACCGCATTCATTTGATGGGTCAAAGATAAATGACGTCTCTCGTTACATTTCTGTTAAAATTCAATGCACGACATTTACACAGTCAGAAAGATGAGGAACTCGTGAAAAAGTATGAATATATTTCCCTATATTGTCATACTACAATAGCTACCATGCTACTAATAGTGCCAGGCTGCTAACAGAACTACACTGCTAACAGTAGCTATCATGCTGCTAGTAGTGCCATGCTGCTAACAATAGCTACCATGCTACTAATAATGCCAG